AGACTACTATTGAATAATATTATACTATATTATACTACTATAGTATATAATAATATTATATTATATTATACTACTATACTATGCAATATTATTATACTATATTATAGTCCTATACTACATAATAGTATTATGGTATATTATAGTACTATATTATACAATAACATTATACTACTATACTATTCATTAATATTCAACTATATTATACTACTATACTATACTATTATACTATAATATACTGCTATACTATACTATACTATACTATACATTTTTTTTATCGAGATTGGAAGATCACCTTAAACTCTTCAACCAAACAGTACAAACCTATCACATTCGTCTCTACTACAAAAGAATCTCACATGCTCCCAGCACTTCTGCCCAACGCATGTTCTTCATCTGCCGTCCATTCAACCACCGCGCAGCGTCTGTTTAGATCAGATCGTACCGAAAATAAAGCGAACGCCTCAGAAAGCTCGCCCGAAACTTGCCGGAACATTTTCCGTAACTTGGCCGGCCATTGAGCGACATAAAAGCTGCGGACCCATCGCCACGGTCCAGAAATTACAAATCGCGGCGCGGTATAAAGCACAGAAATCGCGTCGCGCTCGAACGATTCTCGTTCCGCGCGCGGCGAACGGTTCTCCTCTGACGACGACGACGTCGTCGTCGTCGACGACACGCCGGTGAACCCCACTGGAAAAACTATGCGGCTCTCCGCGGGCCCGTCTTTCCAGGCCGGTTCGTTGATTGGAAATGTTTGTCTCCTTCGCGAATCGGCCGCCCGACCAGCTTGAAAAGCTCTCGAGCCCGTCGTGCAAAACTTTTTCCCCTGGAAACGCTTCGATCACTCGCAGGAAGCTCGCCAACTCTTGCTCCGGGCTTATTGGAAATTTTTGCTGAAAGCTCGCGGACGTGGAACGCGCGCGGTGCGGGGCGCGGGGTTCCGAGGCGGCGCCGAAGAAAGACCGGAAAGATTACGGATGTTTGAACCTATTTGCGCGAGTTCGGCGAGGGCCGGCGGCCTTCTCTCACGACGCCGCGAGACGTGGCTCGAGACCGGGCGGCTCTTCGAAATTCTTCGTAAGCGTTTTCCCCGTCGCGATTTGGATTCCGCGCGCTCTTTTTTCTTCTTCAACCCCCTCGCGGTAAGTGGGCGCGATTGAAAGACGGGGCCGGCCGGCCGCTCGCACAATTACGTCTCTCGCCAAGGCTACGTCGCCGATTCCGGCGACGGTGCTCCGATATTGCCGGCTCGTTCACGGCCGAAACGAACGGTTATGGCTGTCGAATGCCTCGCGCAGCCGACGTTTCCGATCGCCGATCCGAGCTTCTCGAGCACGGCGTGTTCTTGACCGCGCCGGCAAATCGAACTCCGGGGCACTTCCAATTTCCCTTCGGAACGAGTCTTACCCGCTTCTAATTACGCTTCGTACCCGTTCTTTAACGCTAGCCTAGGATACTCCGAGATGTCCGGAGAACGTACCGCCGCGATTCTCTTTGCCGAAGGGTTCGCGGAGCCGGGTTGTTATTGATTTTTCGCTGGAGAATTGTGTTTTTGTTGAGGAGCGCGTTTTTGGGATTTTGTTTTGGATTTAGGCTGGATTTGTTGACTGTGGGTTTTAGTTAAGTTTTGACGGGCACGCGGCGATTCGACAGCGAATCGTAGTGGTGGCAGAAGAATCTGGGGATTGGGTTGTATTTTTTTGTGGTCAGTTGATGTTATTTTTGCGAATCGGTTGTTTCAGTGCAATTCTTGACTGTGGTTTTTATTCAATTTTTTACTCTGGGAATTGAGTAGCATTTTCCTGGATAATTGACAATTTTTATCTTGCACAAAAATCCGCAGTCCAGCTCTTCTAGTTTTCGTAAAAGCAGAATGTTTTGAGATCGTGTATTTTTAATAATTTTTTTCTAAATTCTTTTTAAATCGCGTGCAAAATTTATAATTTACTTTCAATATAATATTTCAGCTTGTACTTGTCGATGTAACTCAAAAAAATGACCGCGCAAGCATATTTTGCAAATAAAGAAACGCGTTCGCAGTTCCTGCGTTCGTCTTACTTCTAAACTCGATTTATACGCAAATCCATGCATTGCATTCGTGAATATTGATCTGAACGAGGAGATCATAAATCTAGCATGGCTGTCGGACTTTACAATTCGGTCCAGAATATTTAAGTTTGAACTGTGGTTCGGAGATACTTACGTTTGGCAAGCGTGAATCTTTTAGGATCTTCAGCCATCTTTCTCTGTAAAATAGAATGTAGTAAAACAAATTCTGGTAAACACAAATCTTTTGGGATTACATGATGTACGCGAAATTAACTGCAAAAATCGCGAAATAAAATGCTTT